CAAAAAGTGGTAAAAAGTTGAGAAAAGGTGTCCCCGGTGGCGCAGCTGTCGGCCGCGCTGCTCTTCGACGCCGTGCACGTGGTGGTGGAATGGACAAAAAGTGACAAAAAATGACCAAAAAATTGAGAAAAAATTGCCAAAAAATGACAAAAAACTTGCCAAAAAATGACAAAAAATTGACAAAAAATTGCCAAAAAATGACCAAAAAATGGACAAAAAAAGGCAAAAAGTGGTAAAAAGTTGAGGAAAGGTGTCCCCGGTGGCGCAGCTGTCGGCCGCGCTGCTCTTCGACGCCGTGCACGTGGTGGTGGAATGGACAAAAAGTGACAAAAAATGACAAAAAAATTGACAAAAAAAAAGACAAAAAATGGTAAAAAATGGACAAAGAGTGACAAAAAATGACAAAAAAATTGACAAAAAATGACAAAAAAATTGACAAAAAAAAGACAAAAAAAAGACAAAAAAATGATAAAAAATGGATGGAGAGTGACAAAAAAATGACAAAAAAATTGACAAAAAATTGCCAAAAAATGACCAAAAAATTGACAAAAAAAAGACTAAAAAATTGACAAAAGAAAAAGACCAAAAAAATGATAAAAAATGGACGAAGAGTGACAAAAAATGACCAAAAAAATGACCAAAAAATTGACCAAAAAATTGACCAAAAAAAAGACCAAAAAATGATAAAAAATGGACGAAGAGTGACAAAAAATGACCAAAAAATTGACAAAAAATTGCCAAAAAATGACAAAAAAATGGACAAAAAAAAGACAAAAAGTGGTAAAAAGTTGAGGAAAGGTGTCCCCGGTGGCGCAGCTGTCGGCCGCGCTGCTCTTCGACGCCGTGCACGTGGTGGTGGGCGCCGTGCGGGAGCTGAACCGCAGCCAGGAGATCGGCGGGCGGCCGCTGGCCTGCGCCGCGCCCGGCATCTGGCCCCACGGCACCAGCCTGATGAACTACCTGCGCATGGTGAGCAAAAACCAAAAAACAGCCCGAAAACGGCCAAAAAACGGCCAAAAAACAGCCGGGAAATACACAAAAAACAGCCCAAAAACGGCCAAAAAACAGCCGGAAAAACAGCCCGGAAAACAGCCAAAAAACAGCCTGAAAACGGCCAAAAAACAGCCAAAAAACAGCCGGGAAATACCCAAAAAACAGCCTGAAAACGGCCAAAAAACAGCCAAAAAACAGCCCGGAAAACAGCCAAAAAACAGCCTGAAAACGGCCAAAAAACAGCCCGGAAAATACCCAAAAAACAGCCCGGAAACGGCCAAAAAACGGCCAAAAAACAGCCAAAAAACAGCCAAAAAACAGCTGGGAAATACCCAAAAAACAGCCCGGAAACGGCCAAAAAACAGCCGGAAAAACAGCCCGGAAAACAGCCAAAAAACAGCCTGAAAACGGCCAAAAAACAGCCAAAAAACAGCCCGGAAAATACCCAAAAAACAGCCAAAAAACAGCCCGGAAAACAGCCAAAAAACAGCCTGAAAACGGCCAAAAAACAGTCAAAAAACAGCCCGGGAAATACCCAAAAAACAGCCCGAAAACGGCCAAAAAACAGCCGGAAAAACAGCCCGAAAACGGCCAAAAAACAGCCAAAAAACAGCCCGGAAAATACCCAAAACCAGCCTCAAAACAGCCAAAAAACAGCCCGGAAAATACCCAAAAAACAGCCCAGAAAATACCCAAAACTAGCCTCAAAACAGCCAAAAAACAGCCCGGGAAATACACAAAAAACAGCCTGGAAACAGCCAAAAAACAGCCAAAAAACAGCCCGGGAAATACCCAAAAAACAGCCTGAAAACGGCCAAAAAACAGCCGGAAAAACAGCCCGAAAACGGCCAAAAAACAGCC